CTTACATTTAATTTTTCTATGAAAATCGGGAATTACTCGAGTGATTGGATATGGTTGTTTAAGAAAGATAAGAATCATCCTAATTAACTATGAAGAAAAATAGTTATATCAGTAAGTATTAATGAAGAAAACTTGAAAGACATGATTCGACAGTGGACTAGATAACATAATTTTCATAACCAAAAGTAATGGTAACAAATGCTTAAGCCCAAATGTCTTGTATTGGTTCGAAAGTGCATTTAAACAAGTCCTCAAATTATAACTCGAACTACCTCTTTGAACACAATGTCACATGATTAAAAAGAAATAGTTGGGAACATATCGACGTTGTCCAAGTGCTAGACACTTCCTAAGGTGAAGGTGTTGGCCTCAATGATGACAGAAGGTTCTTATCCTTTTAACCTTTTAGAATGTTACAGTAATTATCTGATTACATAAGAGAACTCTTTCAAAACCCATTTACTTGGGGGGTTTTCTTCCACTTAGGAGAATTTTCTTTCACCCAAAGTTGTTTTCCCATTCGAGGGATTTTCTTCTTGCATTGGGGAATCTACTACTTTTAAAACTCATTTTATAACTCGAGGGAAATTCATGGTCTTTCCCAAAAAATTATTTACTTGCTCCTAGTAGGTAATCTCTTTTAGTAGTCTTTAAACTTTCTATGGTCTCATATAATATGATAGATTATGGTTGTTGCTTATTTGCCACCTCCAGTTAACTTTGGAGTGAAACCCTAATTCTTTGATCTCATCACATTCCAACTATTGTAACTTCTATCTTTTCAGGTTTTTGAAACTATAATCCTACTTATTTACATATGCAAAACATCTCCTAAGGTGTGTATTATCTAATTTCTTTTGACTTTAAATCATATAAGAATCCTAAACCTCATGATGTAAGGGATGGTTCCAAGAAGAAAGGTGTGGATACATGGAACCGTGCTTGGCCATCACCGTGGTTCTCCTTCTTCTCTGCATGCACCATTGCACGTTTTCTCTCTCCGGCCTTCTAGTTATTGGTCTCTCTGCCATACAGCACGCCGCACGCACCAAACCTGTCTCTCTCTTTGTGACTCACTCTCTCTCTACTAGTTTGACTCTGTTTCTCTTTATTTTCCCCAATTTCTTCTTTTTTTTCCTTTAATAGGCAGGAGGACAAAGAGCCCTACACGCCTCTTCTTCCTTCTTTTTCGGCGTGTAGGTCCAGGCTTCTTCTTCATCCTCTTCGGCTGCCAGAGGCGTACACGCCTCTAGTTGCCTTTTTTTTTCTTTTTCTTTTATCATAACGGCGTCGTTTTGGAGTTTTCTAAAATGACGTCGTTTTGGTCTTTCTTACTCCTGATGCCCATGATCCATGTTTCTAGCCCTGAGTGTTACACAATCTACAAATGTTATAGTTACAATTTTGTTTGATATTAAATTTTTTTTAGTTAATTGAATTCTAATTATGAAATTAAAATGAGGAAGACAAAAAAGAGTGGAGGTTGGATGATTTTGTCAAGGAGAGATTAGAAGCAAATAGGGAGATTAAATTTTCTAATACTCTATGAATATAATCACATAGAAAGATAAACTAAATTTGATTTAATTTTGTTAGAAATTAAGCAAAAATTAATCAACAATAAAGATGGAGAAGGCAATGAGGCAACTTTGGTACTTATATATAAAGTTTAGACATTATAGAAAAAATATATTGGGGTGTGAGATAAAAGTTAAATGAGAATTATTAGTTTCAACAAGTTAATGCATAACAGATTTAAGTATGAAATTGTCATATAAATATTGTAAAATTTGTGTTCTTTCATTGATAAAATTTCTGAGTGTTGTTTAATTATCAAATTTATTCTCTTGATAATTACAACAAAATTAAATTTTCAACATTCTCAATTGATTATAAGCAATGGGGATAAAAGGGATTGCCCTCTTCCTAAAATAATCCTAGTTTGTTTTTAAATAAAAAGAAGATGCACACTAAATAAATAATAAAAAAAAAGGCATTAAAAAGTGAGGAATTATGATGATTCCATTGATTATATTTTACAACCTTCTTTTCTTTGGGAAGAAATACAACTTATAGAATCACTGCAAACTAGTGATAGTGATTTGAAATTAATTTCTTTTGTTTGGTTCAAAAGAGTTGTGACATTAGAGTTTGACAAATTTTGTTCATGAATTATTACATTTAGTTTAAGCGAAATCAATTACTCATGTAAATAATACGGAGTAGAAATAATAAAATTAATATTTCTTGCATCTTCTTTTAATAAAATAAAAATTAAAAAAATGATCTTAACCACAATTTATAAGAACATAATATATAATATTAACATTTTAATAGTTAAAAACTTTACATTGATAACATTTTAATAGTAAATTTGATATTTTAAATTCTTTTTATAAGCTTTTTCGAACATGAAAAAATTTATTTTTAAAATTTGATGTTTTCCAACATTAAAAGCTAGAGCAGAGGCATAGATGAGAATGTGTGAAGTATGATTCTTGCTTCAAACTTATCTTCTTGCATATCATTTATTAGTGTATAGATAATTTACTATATAGTTATTATATTTACAGGTTATACAATATATGACTCCAAACAAGTTAAAAAAAAGATTCTACTTATTTAACATCTCAAAATATGTTTGATTTATTAACAGTTTAAACTTATTTAAATATATCAAATTCAAATATATTTGATAGTTTGTATACAACAAAGATTATTGGGTATCATTAATATAATTTTTAAAATTTCACTAAGCATATGCTGCAGAAAAATCTTTTAACTTATAATAATAAGTCTCTCAATTAGGGTGGTATTTCTTTATACATTAGGAAGTTCTTGCATCTCAGTTTGTGATGATTTTGGTTGGGGCTCAACTTTTGAAGTTTCTTGCTGAGGGTCTGATTTAGGAGTTTTAATTTGGTTCTTCATCTCTTTCATCTCACCATAAAAATAAGAGACAAAACCCAAGAGTGATAGTATAAGAGAAACTCCCTTATCAGCTTGAAAATTCTCATGGTAGAAAATAACAGCCAAAACTTCTGATATGGGAAGTAAAATTGCCAGCACGATACCAGACACCAAAGAAGAGGCACAAAACACCACTCCTATGGCCCCTAAAAAGTTGAACTGCCACAATATTGCACTGAACACTGCCACCAAATAGTATTTTGCTTCTCCCATATGTGACTCTTTTGCTTCTCTTGCGACTGCCTAATGAAAAGTAAGAAGGAGAAGAAGAAGAAGACATTATGTTTGTGAAAATCTAAAAATATGCACTTTTTTTTCTCTTTCTCTCTCTCTCTCTCTCTATATATATATATATATATAGAAATGATAAATTATTATTATTTTAATCTCTAAATTTATTTATCATATTACAGTTTACTCTAAATTTTCTATTATAATTTGAATCTTAAACTTATAATTTGTTTTTTTCAATCTTTAGTTTTTCAATAAAATATTTTGTATAAATGCTTCTATTCACGGGTAGAAATTATTGAAAATTAAAAAAAAAAAAAGTCATTAATTTAGTTAATTTCTTAGTCTATAATGTTTATTATTATGATAAATGTAAAACAAATGAATTAATTATTATTGCAAAATTAATATACGAGTAGAAAAACAAAAAAAAAAAAAAACTGCTGTTTATTATCAAAATTCTGACGGTTAATAAAAAATTAATAAACTGAAGTAATTTTATAAATAAGGTATTAAATTGTAAAAGAAAAACACATGAAATTATAAGGTGATGAATGGTCTGAAATTAAAATTATATGTATATAAATATAATATAATGGTTGGGTTTTGGATAAAAGCAGAAGAGAAAACGTCGGCGTATCATTGAGAAAGAGAGCGAAAATGGTTCGTACCATTTTGAAAAAGAGTGACACCAAACAAGTAGTTAACTTTGGACTATTGCATGGTAAGTCAACATTCAATTTGGACACAATAATAGAGATATTTATTTATAATTAATTATTTATTTTAATCTTAATAAACAATTTTAATTTATTTTAAACATAATTAATTTCATTATCACTATTTACTGTAAATGCATAAACTGATCGCTTATTAGAATTTGCATAATATTTTTATTTACAGAGTATTTTTATTATATAATGTTTGGTTCCTATAGTTAAATTTTGTATTTTTTATTCTTTTATCTTTTCAAAAAAAAAAAAAAAAGGAGCAAGATAAAAAAAGATAAAAGGGTTAAAAATCATACCTTGAAATCATTGTTAGCCAGCATCCCCACAGTGCAAAAACCAGTTGCGAAAAGGCACATAACCAACTGCGTCTCCAGAACAAGAGCAAAAGTGATTTTCTGTCGAGCTTTCATGTAAGCCAACTCCACCAATGGCATCATCAAACCATACAACACCGAAGCAGCTAGCGTCATCAAAAACCCTAATATATATCCTCTGTTCGACACATTCTTCGGCTTGTCACTGTTCGTATGCATGGCTAAAACCCCCGTTGCCACAGTCAACAACGCCACCGCGTTAACAGAGTAAAAAGTAAACTTCTGCTTCACCAGCAGGAAAGCAAACATGGCGGTGAACACCAACTGGGTAGCCACGATCAGAGAAGAAGTCGAAACGGGGAGTTTCGAAACACCATAGGAGTAGAGGTAACAGTCGAGACCAGTCAAGATTCCTATACCGGCAGAGGCCATGAAGAGACGAGGTTTAATGGTGAAGAAATGGGTTTTCTGCGACGGAGATGATGAGATCGGAGGTTGGTTTTTCCGGCGACGAAAATAAGCGACGGTGAGAGGGAAGATGATGATCGGAAAACCACCAATTTCGAGCCAGCTCGTGAACCAGAGACGTTTGCCGCCTTGGAGATAATAGAGGCGCATAATAAGGGGACCGCCGCAAGTGCCGACGGCGAAGATGGTGGAGGTGATTAGGAGGAGAAGAAGGTTTTTCATGGCGGAAAATGGTCTTACTGGTGAATATAATTATGTAGGTACTGCATTAATGAGTGGATGAATGTGGTAAGGTGGTACCTGGTTTTATAGGGATAAGAAGAAGGAACGCTGCAGAAGCAGATTCATGCAAGTGTGAAGTGTGGGGTAAAAATTATTTTGTTCTTTTCTTTTTTTTTTTCTTTAATTGTTTTGAGAGTTGATGATTTCCACTCCGTGTTGTCTCTGATTTCCATATTTAGAAGTTGAAAAAGCAAATATAACCATTACTGAAAAGTTATATATATATATTAGCTTGTTTGTGGGTATACACTGAGCATTGTTCAAATATATAATAATTGTAATTATATTAGAATATATCTAATTTAATTTAATCTAAAGTTTTAAAAATAAATCATTTCAAAAAAAAAAAAAAGAATAAATTAATATTTTTATGTTGAATTATTAATTTCTATAATTTTATTATGTGATGTCCAAAAATAAAACGATATTTAGGAAAATTTCTTAATAATCATTCAATACATCAAAATTATTTTAATAATTTCTTAATACTAAATTCTAGTGACTTCAAATAAACGAGATCTTCAAACATAACTTACGACCTCTTGTACACATAATGTGTGTGTGTGTGTGTATATATATGTTAAAATAGCAAACTAACAATATAAATATGAATATAACATTTTAATTATTGTAAATCTTATAATTGAAAATTATTATATACAAGATTTCATTAAAGGTAATAATTTAAACACATATTCTCTCATTGAAACAAATAAGAATATCAAATAAATTGAAAAACTATTGATTGTAAAATTTTGTTATAATTATTATTAAATATATTATAATTAATATAATATTGTCTAATTTCGTAATATATATGAGAGAATGGAAAGACATCTCTAAAGATGGTCTCAACTGTCACACTCGGGAAAATTAATATATTATATACAGTCATAAAAAACTCGTGCTTTTGGGAAGATTCTAAAAATGAAATGATTAATTAAGCGAAAACACTTGGTAATCATGTTTTAATCATGTCAGATAGAGAAAGGAAAAATAAATGAATTAAAAAAAAATGATTCAGATTTCTCCATGTCTATGGCAGTAAATAATTTTAATTGCAGGTTTTTACTGGGATCAAAGGTGTGAATGAAGAATATTATGTATATATATATATATGTATGTATGTATACATATAGTTTGTAATTTGGAGTGAATTAATTCACTGTCAGCCACCAAACCTACAGGAAAATTACTCTGACATTCAACTCTTTATTTCATGGATACATATTTCCTAAAATTACTGTCCTCATTTCTTTTTTAAATTCCAGAAAAAAAAAACTAGTTAATATTAGTATTCTGAAATACAATTTAATTTCTTAATTTATATTAAATATATATTTTTGAAATTAGATGACCGTAGCCAAAAATATGTCACTTGGGTCAAAGTTTATATATATATATATTTGAGCACAAGACACACACACACACACATATATATACATACATGCTGTGTATTGTTTGACTCATAAATTATTTGTTTCAGTTAATACTCAAAATTTTCTGTATATATCTAATTAAATTCATGAGCATTTATACTGCATTGATTGTGTGTCCCCGATAAACGTGACAGACAATTTAATTAAATTCATTCTTACAATTTACACTATAGAGAATTTGGCCCATCAACTTTGGACAACAGTTAATGCCTGAAAAAGCTTGTCGACAACTGGACAGATAATTGGAAATTAAAATATATATATATCTATATATTATATTATATTATACTATATTGTAAATATAATGTATACATACGTATGTACGTACATCTGTTACTGTGTCTGGCGTGGCTTTTATTCCTCGCAAGTAGGAAAAGGCTGTGCTTCTCCGCCTCCCATGCCCTTTTCCTGTTTCAAGAAGAAGAAAGAGTTCCACCACCCTTTTGGCATTCTTTATAAGTTGGTTCAAATATATTATTACTTTTGCTTAGTTCTTAGATTTTAATTATTTAGTGTTAAATTTAATAATAAATTAAAGATAATCAATTTAATCAACTTGCACCGTCAATCACCTAAGTGTGGTTTTGTTTGAAGAAATATTTAACTTCATTGATCAAACAAGAGATTAAAAATATTCTGTTTAAATAAAATAAAATAAATTAAGAAAACAGTAGGCTCCAGCATTGCCATAAAATCTTCAAGTACAATTTTGGTTCATATCTTATTTATTTTTGTTCAATTTGATCTTTGTCTCAATTTTGCATTAAATTAATCTCCAATTTAGTTATTTTTTTTAATTAATATGTGATACAATTTGTAATATTCGGGACCTAAATTTGGTCCAAAATTAATTTTAAAAAAAATAAAAATAAAAATAAATATATTTAAATTTATAAATTTTATTTAATATAAAAATTAGGAAAAAATAGATTGATCATGAAATTGAAAATAATCTTGAAAAAAAGGGATGAAAATTTGAGTTCGGCGAGTATTTTTGAAAGAAAAATAAAAAATTGAGGGTCAAAATGCAATTTAAGAAAAATGTGTCACGTAACACTGCCCAGTCAGTAGCCTCGATGAATTGGAGCGCGCCGTGTAGCAAGGCACGCTAACTCGATGCCACGCAGGAGGCCACATTGGCAACCCATGTGTCCGCGATCAGACGGTCCAGATTTGTTCCTATACGCGTGGACGATCCAGATCCGTTCTCTCTTCATGCACGATCGGACGGTCGAGATTAAATGCGATGAACAGTACATATTCTTTCTCTATTTAAATGCGATCGTACGATCCAGATCAAATCTCAATGAACGGTCCAGATTCATTTTCTCTCTAAACGTGATTGGACGGTCGAGATCAAATGCGATGAATGACCCATATTAAAGAGAGACAAGTATAAATATCTCACTTCACACTGAGCCTTAACCCTAGCCGCCAGCCCCCCGCTAAAGAATAAGAACTAGTCGCCGAAGAAGGGAGCTGACCGTCGTTGCGCCGGAACCACCTCCGACTGCCAAAAAAGGTAAAAAAAATTTCATTAGCTTGAAATTTGGTTTTGAACACCCTCATGGCTAAATCGAAGCAAAAAGATCGGCGAATGAGCTGAAAATCGTAGGTAAAACTCGGCGGTGCGGCCGCAAGAAAAACCAAAAATCGCCTCTGATGAGCCCCTTCTCGATTCTAATTTCGTGCGATTTTTTTACCATTGTATTCACCATTCTATTTTCTACAGGTTAACCAAAGAAAATTATCCAACCGCAAAGGTGAGCAGACGGAGTTGCCGCACCGAAAAATCTCGCTGCTGATAAGTTTTTGCTTTTCAACTTTTTATGGCCAACCAAGGCCCCTCAATGTATTTTCTTGCAAAGATGAGTATAAAATTGACCGAAATCAACTAAAATTGGCCAAAAACGGCAAGTTCGAGATAAACTGCCGCCACAGGCGGTGGTGCCGTCGTCGGAGCACGGTGGTGCCGCCATGTTAAAATTTTAAAATTGTCCAGAAAAGGTTTTTAATACCGATTTTAGATTTTTTAGAATATTTCTAAGTACTTGAAATGTGAATTAAGCTCCGAAAAAAAATTTAGGAAACCCAGGGACCACCAGTATGCGCAACTAAAAGTTTAGTGTTTCGGATACCGATTCGAGTAAGAATCCCTTACCTTATTCCCCTTTTATAGAATTGAAGTCCAATTATAAATAATACGGTATTTTGTGTAATTTAAAACATTTCGATAATTA